GGAACTTAATTCCTACAGTATACTCTTAAATCCTGCGGTATGATCTTGAATTCTACAGTACGACCCTCAATCCTTACAGTATGAACTTAAGTCCTGTCGCATGATCTCAAATCCTACAGTGTCCTACAGTATGATCGCTGCCTCACAGTTCACTATGAATCGCACAAGGCCCAGGATGAAGTGGTGATGCTCAATATCAGGATAACTCGGAACAGTCAAAGCCTCTTCCACAGCTGGTGGTAGCAGTCAATATCAGGATAACTTGGAACAACGGAGCTGAGAAAACTGCTGAGTGGCTAATCCCTTCAGGTAATGAACTAACAAAAAATTCGGAGGCACAATGATGAGAACTAGCCAAAACAACTGGAAAAGTTGCCAGCTGCAGAGCTAATTCATGCATTCCAAGTTTTGCAACTGCACAAAATAAGAGGCAGGTTAACCGTATCTGAGTGTACGTTCGCACGGATAAATCAAGACTCAAATTATGTTTTTTTGGATTTTTTTTTTCATCAGAAGATGATAATTAGCAAATCAGTCCCGAAATTCCCAATTAAAAACTTTATACATTTGGCGAGAGATGGGCCACCAACAAATATAAAGTTTTTTAATGGCAATTTCAGAGCTGTGCTTATTTAAGAGTGTTTCGGTCCATTAAGTCATGTATGTCTTAACTCGACACTGCGACAGGAACTTGTCAGTATGATGGTTGCAGTGCATAATTCTGACATTTTGATTATATACATGTATCCTGAACAGGTTCTAAGAGTATTATGATGTTACTCGTTTTCACCTCATTTACACCGCATTCATCTCAACCCATTGTGCATAGCAAAAATTCATTGCAAAATCGCAAAAACCGTTTCAGCAGGTTCCCTCGGATGGAAGTCTAAATCGTTATTTGCCACTGCTGAAACATCTCATTCCGATTTACCTTCAATGAAGTCAATCCAACGTTAATCATCGAGAGGTTCTGCAATTTTTTGAACTCATCCGTTAGGCCAATAATTGTTGTCGTCCGGCAGTTATCCAGGTTCAGTTCTGTGACCTCGGATCGCTCGCGACCTCTCAGCTCCAACTCGATGCGTTTGTCCATCTAAAAATATTAACGGCTGAACTTCTGCTGCTCCAAACTACTTTTTTCAACCTCAAAAAAATTCATCCTTTTCACATGCCACGGTTTCGTCGAAAAAAAAAGCAAAAAAAAAAAAGGAAAAATTACGTGTATCGACGTTACAGGTACCCAAATGGATTG